CAAAATAACACCGGAACCTCAGTGTGGGTTGTAGAGCGGGTCCCACCAGCTATTATGCAGCAGGTTTTTCGATGGGCAACCAGCTTGGACGCCTGACCTGACGCACGTCTGTCTCGAGTCTCGGACAAATTTGACCCAAAATGTGCTAGAATCTGTTGAAAAGATTTGAATAGTGGGAAGATATTTTTGTTATTGAGAAGAGGTTTTTTTTTCTATGAAATGCCCCCTCCCTGGTAGATTCAGTTATTGCGGAGAAACACTGTTTTTTCCGTTTTCCATTTCCAAACTTAAACTCTCTTTGCACATTTGGGGAAGTTTTAAAGTAGATCATATACAAGTCATCTTTGTTTTGTTTTTTTGAGGGGGTGGGGGTGCGGTGGGTTGGTGGTGGTGGTGGTGGTGGTGGGGGGATGGGGTTCTTATTAGTATGTGAAGCTTATCTGCTCTTTGCCTTCTGCTTTTTTTCTCTCCTCCTGCACTCACTTCCTTTGCTCTTTTTTTCTGTCTATCCATTTCCCCAGACAATCTCTCTTTTTTCTTAAATGAAGAAAATATATTCTCTTTCCTATTCCTGTCTAAAACCTCTCCTCCCCTCCAAAGTTCCTGTCCTCCTTCCCTCCTTCCCTCCACCCCCCTCTCTCCCAGTCAGTAGGTTTTTTTTATGTTAATCAAGAGTCCTTACCTTCGTTCTCGCTTCTGTTTCATCCTCTCTCAACCATACCTCCTCAGTGTACCCTCACCATAAATCTTCTGAAACTCTTCAAAACCTTAAAAAAACGATACAGAGATGGCACTAGAAGAATGAAAAGTATAAGGACAGATGATGAGGTGCAGAAATGTGGGGACAAAGACTGAGAGGATAACATGAAGAGACAGAATGACGCAGATCGAGAAACAGAAAAGAAAAGTTAGAGGGAGATCTCTCTGTGTAACAAGACCTTGCCGTTAGCATTATTTCTTCATATGTTGCGCATTAATCCTTTGTTTATGAAAGATTGAGATGCCAACTACAGCTGTCCCACGGGGAGGGGAAGAGCACAGATATCTGTAGGGGGCAGAAATATGTGGATGTGTTTTGGTATCAGTATCAAACCCATCCATCACACTGACATAGTAATAATACAGTGGGTAAAATAGTTGAGATGTACGAGTCATTTATTTTTCACCATTAATGAAATCTAACTTTGTTCTCTGAATGAAAAAGACTTACTCTGATTTCTTTTAACTAGCACGAATTTTCAGTATTGTCTGGCGTCCCACGATGATCCTGTGGTTGAGCTTGAGTTAAACGATGGTCATATAACACGATAAAAACATCACATCGATACCCTCATAAATGCATGACAAATGGCAGGTTTAACATTCAACATAATTCGTAACGTTGAACAGACAGCTCGATTCATTTGGTTTGTGTGTGTGAATATAGAAGAATGAATAGTGAAATGAACCAACAATTTTGATAATCATTAAACAAGGGAAAACTTTCATCTGAAATCTGTAAGTTAATGTTTTTTGACTTTTACTCTGACATTTTATAGACTTAATGATACTGGATTGACTAATCAAATACAATGTCTGAATAACTGATATGAAAGTAAAGATTATTTGCGCCCCGGTCAGTTGCTGGTTGTTAAATATCAGCTGGTTTTATGAACAGACCAAAATAGGCCTGAAATGTGATGACAAAATGTTTTCAGGATTGATTTACCGTGCAACAAGTAAAATTCATATGGTAACATATATGAAAATGAAAACTGTCCAGTATAGTTTCTCTGCCTGCCTATTGGCCGTCATATACTACAGTTACTTACCGTTCCCCTCTCGGTCCATCCGTCAGCAGTTGTCTTCGGGTGATAATTGACAATTTCAGATAAAAGCTTCACTGGCATAGGGGCTAATTGTAGTTGATGGTAATGATTAACTGTCGCATTTATCCTCACTGTGGTATTGAGGCCATTGTGGTGTATATGGGCTAATTGTAGCTAGTAGCAGTAGTTGTTATGCGGTATGTTGTGGTGGGTTGGACCTAATTGTAGCTGATAGTAATGGTTCCAGTCTGTGTATACAGCCTGAAGCAGACAAAGGCTGTACTGCGACATTGAGACACACACACACACACACACACACCCACACACACAGATGCATACGCTCAGAAACAGACACACACAGTACACCCCCGTAACACACACCTCTTCTTGCCCACATCCTGGAGCATGCAAGCGCGCCTAAAGTATGCAAATGAACAATTGATGCCATCCTAAATAAATAATGAATTATAATTTTGCTATTTATAATTCCTGCTCTATTGATTTCATACTTCAGCCGAGTCATGTGTAATTTTGTTATCATCACTTTGATGAACTTTTTCAGTCACCGCCGAAATCAAACAGGGCAGATGGAAACACAGTTAGGTCAGTCAGTGCTTCTTAGGTTGGGATTTCAGCTTCATTGCTTTACCACAACGATCTGTAGTTTTCCACTGTGTGTGTGTCTGTGTGTGTGCGTGCATGCGTGCGTGCGTGCGTATATATATGTGTGCAAGTGAATGATGAATTCTGACTGGGTGTGGTGAACATCAGATGAGATTTTCCTCTGCTCCCTGCTCTCTCTCACTTTCCTTCTCTCTCTCTCTCTCTCTCTCTCTCTCTCTCTCTCTCTCTCACACACACACACACACACACACACATGCAGACACACACAGTTAGTGCCAGGGCTGGTCTAGGCGTGGGCCCTTGCAGACATAAATTGCTTTATTTTAATAGTTGTATGGTAGAGAAAGAGGGAGAGAAAAAATGGTAAAATACGAGAAAGGCCATAGAGAGAAAATTGGATTCAACAAAAAAGCAGGTCTCTCTCTCCGTCTGTTTTCTTCTGCTTTTCTCTGTGCATGTGTTTTATTTTCTCTTTTCTGCCTAATCCTCTAGATTACATTAAAGGGTTGTTAAAATATGGTCCTTTTTAATCTGTTTATGTGTATCTACATGTGTTTGTTTATGCCCATTTGATTTTCTGTTTCCTTTTACTTCTTTTTCTTTAGATGTGTGTGTGTGTGTGTGTGTGTGTGTGTGTGTGTGTGTGTGTGTCTTGACTGTCTCATGGTTTAACTATGTGCAGTTTAAAGTTTGCCATTTCTATGAGTAAGTTACAAGCACACTGTATAGTTTAATAGTATACATATATACTGTATACTATACAGTATCACACACATGCTATTTCTCCTCCATATGCATCATCAAACATGTATTACTGGCACACAAAAACACATACATACACACAAACACACACACGCACCATGTCTTTCTCGTCATATTGCATTGATCTAAACGTGATCAGAATTTGGCGTCTATCAGACGTCTTTTGGGTTCGACTCTGTTTATGACCGAAGGCACACACGCACACACACACACACATACAAACACAGCGTATGGGTCAATGGGTTGACTGTGTTTACGGCCGAATATGAACTGAACGACCACAAATAAACACGCTTGCACGCACGCGCGCACACACGCGCTCGCTAAAACACACGCAGTATCTCTCTGTCACGACTGTTGTGAACAGAACGACCACAATTGTTCTCTTTTCAAACAAAAGAAAGATTATGGCTTAACATAAAACACATGGTTGGTTATTTGATGGCTCTGTATAGTGATTATAAGGGAGGGAGGGGTGGGTTGGTGGGACAAGGGGAATGACAGACGGAGGGAGAGGGCAGGAGCAGAAAGAAAAATTTTAATGATGGAATTACTTGAATTATTACAGCAATTATTCTTGCATGTGAAAGAGGGCAACAGAGAATAAAAAATGACTAAAATGCAGAGAAAATGCCTTGATAAGTGCTTTTTGTTTGATAGAGGTATTTTACACTAAATATACATGAGCATGGTGTCGAGAAAGACATGGGAAAGGATGAAAGGTTGTGAGAGAGAAAACAGAGATGTGTGTGTGTGTGTGTGTGTGTGTGTGTGTGTGTGTGTGTGTGTGTGTTGTGCGTGCGTGTGTGGTGTGTGCGTGTGTGCGTGTAGTGCGTGTGTTGTGTGTGTGTGTGAGTGCATGGGGGGTGGGGGGGTGGGTTGGTCAAAGTAAAATGGGATATGAAATGAGAAAGAAAAGCAGACAAAAAGAAAATAAAGAAGAGAGAGGAACCCAAGGACAGGAGGTGACGCAGACAAGAGCACAAGAGGCAGCGAGAGATGAGAAAAAGAGCCAGAAAATAAATGAAAAGCTCGCAGTAAGAGATGCAGAAGAGAAAGAGAAATTTGGAGTGCTGGAGGGGATGAATTGCAGTCTGCCGCCTCCCTCATCCATCTTTCTGATATGGGGTGTGTGGTTTGATGTGGTTGAGTGTTGGCCACTCTCCCTGTCTCTCTCCTCCTCCTCCTCCCTCTGTCTCCCCCGTTTCTCTCTCTGCCTCACCCTTGTCTACCACCCCCTCTCAGTTTCTCTGATATGGTTTGGGTTTTGATGTGGTCATGTGTTGAAGATTCTCACGGATGGTTTCCATAACGATAAAAAGATTCACTCCCTGGTTTCCAAAAAAAAAAAAAAAGGCAAAAGATCGCACTTAGGGATACAACTAACATCCCAACACACACCCCGAAAAGATCTCTCACAGCTGAGATGTTTCTGATTTGTTGAGGCTGTTTTTCTTTGACGAGGTTTGTGGTCGAGGATCGTCACAGATTTCAGTGTTCAAAGAAGTTTGTAAATTGAATCAAAGCTATTCTGTACACATACATCATTGTAAGACAATTGTATTTGTGTGCGTGCATGTGTGTGTAATCCACTAGATATTATTTGTGTTCTGCAGACTCCTTGTATCTCTTAATGTCTTGATTGTAACGGATTATGGAAATCTGCTTGGCATTTTCTTCTCCCACATCCTGCATCTCCTCATACACAATACATAGTTTAAATGGTTTAGATAATGTAAACATATCAATGAACAATAAAATAAAATAAAAAAACTGAAGAAAAATAACATTTTATCTTTTTCAGAGATGGTGAGGAAGAAGAATCCCCCTATCCGGAGTGTCGGAGGTGAGGAGGAGGAGGAAGAAGAGGGGAGGAGGCCAGGAGGAGAAGAGGAAGAGGAGGGAGAGGAAGAGGGGAGAGTAGGAGCAGAGGCCGAACGAATAAACCGACCCTCTGAGCCAGAGTCCTCCGACCGAGTCAGAGGAGATGAGGAGCAGGAAGAGGAGGAGGGAGAGAGCGAGTGTGTTTCCTCATCTGTCTCTCCCTCATCAGTGGGTGATCGCTACAGTAATAATGAGGAGAGAGGGGGCAGGAGAGGAGGAGGAGGGGGGAGGGCCAAACAAGGGGGAGCGGCGTTGACCGACAGACCCGAGAGCCAGTCGGAGCCTGAGGATGGGGAGAAGGGCTTAGAGGAAGGAGAGAGGGGCGATAGAGACAGGGGGGAGGCAGATCACCTCACTCCTTCTCTCCTCTCTGCTGCCCACCTCCTCCCCAGACAGGAAGGAGGGGAGGAGTCGACAACTGACACCCCTCCACTCTCCTCCAGCCCCTCTCCTAAACTCCAGGACTTCAAGTGCAACGTGTGCGGTTACGGTTACTATGGCAATGACCCCGCCGACCTGGTGAAGCACTTTAGGAAGTATCACCTGGGTCTGCACAACCGCACACGGCAGGACGCTGCCCTCGACACACACATCCTGGCCCTCCACAACATGGCCCCCCAGCACACACCTCTAGGTAATTCCAGCTCTCACATTAATGTATTTGAGTTAATGCACGAAGCGCTGCTGCTCATTGGTTGTAAATGTGAAAATAGCACGGATTCCATCACAAGCTCATGAAATAAGCACCGCTGATCAGGGCTGGATACTGCCATGTGACATGTGACCTGGGTTACTTGGTTTCTTAAAATGAACCTGAACTGACATGAAAAAAAACAATGTTGCCTCATTGTGTATTATCCATACTCAGTGAGTGGTTAGATCTTGTGACATTATTTTGTAAAGTTATATATCTTCTTAAAGATGTAAAGTCTTGACTTTGTGAAGTTTGTTTTTCCACATGCTCAGAGTGAACCAGTTGCATGCTACCACAACTTGTTGATTGTTGATCTAAAGGTTTTCCATCTTCCCAGATGTCAGACTTGTCCTTGGATCGTTTTGCCTCTAGCAACATGACCCCCCCCTCCCCTTCCCCTTTTGCTTCCGCAAGTCTGACCCCCTCCTTGTATTTCTGCTGACAGACATACAGACAGGACAAGGGCAGAGGAACCAAGCCAAAGAGTTGGGGAAGACGAGGCCAGATATACACAATCAACAGCACAGGGCAGTTATGGTGAATGGCACATATGACGTACAGGTAAGCACAGGCAGATGAATGGATTTAACGTACAGCATGTGATTTTCAACAAGTCATTTTACACACACACACACACACACACACACACATACACACACCCACACTATACATGCATTTAAAAGAAATAGACCAGAAAATGTACACACAAGGAAGCAGTAATAGTGCCACTTCCACAGTTGGTAACACTTTAAAAAAAACTACAGTGAATAAAAGTACAAAAAGCTACACAGAGCATTTTATGGTGAAAGCGTGTTGAGTTAATTGAAAGGAAGGGAAAGTTTTCAAGGGGTGGAACAAAGACTTTCTAGTTCAGTAAAGCTTTTGTTTTGTTGCCTCTACAGTCCTATGAAAAGCCTGCCCTTTAGGAGTTGATGCCCCTGGGTAGCTGTCAGTTTCACAGTCCTTTCTACCGTCACTCTTGAAAATGACCTCACCATAACTGAAGGTTTCCACTCGGGGCAGTTGCTGTGCGATTATTTATCCATCAGCCTTTTTTCTGCAAGAGGATCGTGTTCTCAGACTTGGTGAAAACTCATCCTCTCAGCATCACATGTAGCTGCACACAGCCTCTGTTGATTGGAGTTCATGGTCCAGAGAGGACATCAAAATTCACAATTCACAATTCACAATTCACAATTCAAATTCACAAAAAATAGAGATAATGTACCACCCTGATTTCGCCACACTCGTCTCATGGCAACAGAGTGCAGAGTCCATAAATCTATCAAACAGCAAAGGTGACAGGGTGCACCCTTGCTCAGTTCCCATTTTGAACCTTCTTGAATTAATGTCAGAGATGCCATCGTGGCTCTTGTTTCGAGTGTGCAGAGAGGCAACAGAAGTGGTGGATAATCATGCAGCTCTCAAGCAGGTCTCTTTTTAGTAATTGTTGCTTATCTGATGATGTGTATGGATATCCACTTTTTGTAGTCATCTCTGTGCACTGCCTCCAAAGTACCACAAACATTGACACTGTTATTTTTTCGTGATTTGTGTCTGGAGCTCTAAAGGGTCATACATTTTGCACTAGTTCTTTGTTTTTTGTTTTTTTTACTAAAAATGTTTCAGTAATTACATTACAGATCTACAGATGTAGAAAAATGGTGCACATGTGTGAAAGAACAGTCTGAGAATGTTGCATTCTTTCGGAAGTGTTTATTTCATTCATTTCAAAGTTTAATTAAACAGAAAGTTCTATTTTTAAATAAATTGATAGCTATTTGATAGCTGACAATAAAAGATGTAGTGACATAGTGTTTCAGAAAAGTTTTAAGTAATCAATCACTTTTTTATAATCAAACTTTGATCCAAAACAGGTGACATCTTTGCTTAGTTAACAATGCACTGTAATCATTACTGGTGGTCATAAATCTGTAAATTTAGGCCCATAACTGAACTGAAAAATTTATTGGGTTGAACAATCTGCAACTGATTTGTATCATAGTGTGTATACTGTGTGTGTGTGCTTTGGACAGTGAGGCATTGTGTTGGAAGTTATAAATTTTATAGACTCGACAGATGGATAGACAGAGAAAGGGAGACAAACAGGGCACCTGGCAGTCAGGCTGCACATATGTGCACATGTGTGCTGAAGCACATGCACACACAGACACACGGGTACACTGTCTGTTTCACAGATCACTAGGGCAATGCATATGTACACACACATACATATACATATACGTGTTACACTATATTACTTATACCTAATATAGTGTTTTAAATAATGGCTAATAAATGCATATCCTGCGCTAATCCCTCATATTCAGAGCTAGAATTTTAATAAGGACTATTATCTGGAGGGACCTACTTTGCTGAGAAACTGCAGGATAAAGACAGGAATGCAGCAAACTGGTGCCATTCATAATTCCTCCTATAAGATAAATGTTATCAATATACTTAAAGATGATTAAATTTTACCTTGTAATAATACACCATCAGAGGACATTAAAGAGTCTGGTGTAATTTGTACCTGCAGTCTGGACACCCAACATATGTCTTCAGTGATTTTAGTTTGTTTAAATGATTATTGCACTTAAAATCAGGAGATACTAATCGGTGAAATCAACAGCTGTAGAGTTCTCTGCTCAACATTGATTTGCTGTTTCCTGTTATAGTAAACATTAAAGCTTCAAACACAACTACTTAAGTGGCAACTTTGTTTGGTTTGAAACTTTATTCACCCATGTAAACTTACTGTATGCAGATCTTCTTGATCATACTTTTAAAGACAGGGTACACTGTAGCTTTGATCCATCAAAGTCACATTCAGAAGCTTGAGTCTTTTTTAAACACATATAATGAAAATACTGTATGTTTGACTATCAGTATTTGACATAGGCAGTAAACATATATATTTCTCAGGCAGTACTGTGAGCAGTTTTCCTTTGGTAATTAACTTTCAGTTACTGTAATAGTGAGAATTGGAAGTCAGATGGATGCCATCATGTCATCACTCTGTGAATTGAGTGGAGCTGCAGTTGTGTAGCAGGAAGAGGAATCCATAATCAGAAATTGTAGACTCATCAAAGTTAACAAATACCTGTTTCAAGTTTTATGACAACCTTGCATCCTATTTTTTATATATTCATTTTTTTTTTTTTTTTCAACAACCAACATGCCAATTATTTTTCCTGCACACCAATTTTTCTTACAACTGCAATTGACCACAGCATTTCCCATACATTGGTTCTTCTGGGCTGATTTGCCCAGGCAGATAAAATCACTCTGTGTCAACCTTACGCCTCATTTCACTCTTTTCAAACTAACAAATATTCGCCCCCACACGCCTGTCTGAATTGTGTGTGTTGCAGTAACTGAGTAGGATCTAAAGGCTTCTTGTGCACAGTCGCTTAGCTAGCATCTACCAATAGTCTGCGTGCGAGGCGTTTAGTGAGCGTTCGTAAATTCTTGCATCTACCAATGGTCTGTGTGTGTGAGGCGTTTAGGGAAGGTTTGTAAATTCTTGCATCTACTAATAGTTTGCATGTGAGGCATTTAGGGAACATCAGTAAATTCTGGCATCTACCGATAGTCTGTGTGTGAGGCGACATCTGTAAAAATAACCTGGGTTACACTCTCCCCCTCTTAACTGCACCACCCACCACCACAAGAAAATTCTCAGCCTGCAGGGAACACTGGATCATTAATACTGAGGTCAAGTTTGCACATAATTTTCAAGATTCTAACTTCAGTCTAATAAAAAGCCTCAATGAAATACCTAGAAAAGTTTTTTTCATACTGCAGGAATATTTTCAATACTTTTCTTAGAAATGGATTTCATAGTCATACACATATTGTGTGGTTTAAAAAATAGGCTCTTACATTATAATGTGTCTTTTTCTGCATTGGGACTACTCCAGTTTTAGTAACAACTGGGTCAAAGATTAGGAATTTCTGGTGTGCAGGAACAGTAGGGTTTTGTCTGAAAGCTTTAAACAAGATGATCTAATAAATGTGTGTGTTTATGAATGTGGGTGAGGAATAGTCAGGGAGTTTCATTTCATTTGAACCAGCAGTCTGTAATGGCCGTAAGTCACGTAATGGACACAGAAACACACAGTAGTCAAGCACACATACACACAGTAGTCAAGCACACATACACACAGAGTCAGAAATAGAAAATCCAGTGGGCTTAAGTCGTCATTATGAAGAAAAAGTGAAAGTATAAAAAAAAAAAAAAAAAATCGAATGAAAGGGGTCTCTATTCTCTCCATCCCTCACTAGCTTTTTCTCTCTCCCGCCCACGTTTGGAAAATTCCATGTTGTCATTTGCTAAGACGAGGTGGCCTGTCAACCAATGAGATCGCAGGAAAAAAGACCCAGGGAGGAGAGGGATACGGAAAAGAGGGAAAAGAGAGCTAGAGATGGAGGAGGAGAGGAGAGAAGGGAGTGAAAGAGACGGAGCATGGCTTTGAAACCAGTAGTTATAATCAGCTGTGTAATGAAGCAGCTGTCAGACATATTTAACTGTCTTTGTCTCTCTCCGTTCTCCAGTTGTCTCTCTCATCATATGTCTTTGTCTCTCCTTCACCTTCTCCTCTGCCTTTGTCTCTACTCATTCTGTCTTACTCTTGAGTCCCTTTTTCTCTATCTTCTCAGTTTACTTTTCATCCGTGTCTCACCTCTTTCTCCTCCCCACCTTTATTCCTCATCTTACAGTCTTTGTCCCTCAACTTGTCCTGCTTGCCCCATGCCTCTTTTCATTCTCCACCACCCCCTCATATTCCCCTTTGTATATTTTTGTCCACTCTGCTTTCTAAAGATGTTTGGCTCTTTTCTAATTGCCTGGGCAGGGTGTGTGGGTCGTAATGATTGGATGATTGCTGTTGTGAGAAAACACATAGTAAAATATGCAGTCTTTGACTTTTGTAACTTATAAAGTATCTATAAAGGTTTCGTCTTACCATATGAAAGTAATAATAATAATAATAATATGTCTATTTGGCTTATTCTGCCTTCTCTAAATTTCTGTTCCCAGGCAATAGCTGTTAATGAGAATAAATTCCTTTTCATTGTCCTCTCTGCTAAGAGAAACAGTGAGGGGTTTAATGACCAAGCTTTAACTGCAAAATAACAGTGTTACCGTCCAAAAAAATCAAATCTGAAGTTAAAGGAAAAAAATGATGAAACAAAACAAAATTAAATTGAGAATTAGGATTCAAATAATCTGTATTTGCACTGTAAAAATAAAGCTAAATGCTCCTGAACATGAACAAAATATGAAACTATACATCTTTGCTCATTTAAAAATACCAGTTGCATTTTGTTCTTGCCAAACCTCTATTAACAGACAGCCAGCAGTCAGCATCAAACCGCAGATCTGTAAAGAGATAAATCCATATTGTACAGTAGTATGTCTCATGTCACTGTAAGACTTGCCAGGCTGCCTGCTCACCTATATAGTCAGCAGCATACTATAATCACTTACAGTCTAGGAGCTAATCTAATAAAAAACATACGGGTGTCAGGTTTCTTTCTCAGTAATGCAAAATCTTGGCTTCATATAGTGCATACTACTGTAGAGCCTGGTAGATATGTTGGAGATAGGTCGGTTAGTTAGAGTTAGGGCAGCCTTTTAATTGTCTACAGTTACATACAGAAAATGATGGATTGCATACATTGCGAGGTTAAGTACTCAAAGCAGCTGAGGCATAGTTTTCCAAATTTGCAGCAGCACAACTCTGATTGAAGGCTTATGTCATGTACCCCCCCCCCCCAAAAAAAAAAAAAAAAAAACCTGCTGCATCAGATTTAAAAATAACAGGCTTTTATCAAAGTTGATGTATAATTTTTAGATTCTATGGAAAATGTATACTAGGTAAGTGCATCATAGGTAAGTACAGTAAAAACCCTATAGTCAGATAACTATTGTCCACTGTCTAATAACAGATGGTAGGTGTATTTCTAAAATAGTGTATGTTTAAATTTGGCCTCATTTTAGTGATTCTCTTCAAATCCCATGAACTCTAATGAGATTTCACTTCCAATATTCAAAGGTAACTAAAGTTGTAAATAACTGCAGCCCAGAGGCGTCTACATAATAAGCTCATCTTGAAGCTACAACCCACAAATTAATTTAACAATATTAGATGTGAAATGTTGATTAATTCATTTGATAATCAGAAACAACATTTGCAGTTGACTTTTCATAGAATAAAGTTTCCACTCTGTTGCTCTCGTTCAGCTTGTGCTTGTAGAGTCTTGCTGCAGAGTCATGTTTCTTTTACGTCAGAAATGAGCTTTGGCCGAGTATAGACACCAGACAACCACAAAAACCAAACCTCTTATTGTCTTTTTCTCTCATTTCTGCTTGTCAACAGGTGACGTTGGGCGGCACGTTAATTGGGATTGGCCGGAAGACCTCTGATTGCCAGGGGAACACTAAGTACTTTCGCTGCAAATTCTGCAACTTCACGTACATGGGCAGTAACTCCTTAGAACTTGAACAACACTTCCTGTCTTCGCATCCAAATAAAGTCAAAACTCCTCCAACCACGCCCCTGCTGGCCACCAACAACCTGGCAACACACGACAACCAGGCGAAGGGGAGGAGTCAGATCATAGACGGGGCGGAGCGAGTGGCAGTGAGGGCGGAAGACGATTCTTTGGTCGGGTACTCCATCCCAGTTAGGGCGTGTTCAGATTCGTCGAGCTGGACAGGGGAGCCGGGTCGAGGCGCTGTGCAGGCATATTATTGGTGTAAATTCTGTAGCTGGAGTTGTGAGTGGTCAGGGGGCTCGGCAAAGCTTTTAGAGCACTATGAACAGAGACATAGAATGAGCTTGGGAGGTGCCATGAGTCCCAACAACTCTAATCCTGGGGTGCTGGACAGAGAGAGGGAGAGAGGAGGGAGAAGAGAAGGAGGAGAAAGAGACCACATGGCATCCAAAAGCCGCAAAGATCTGTCATCCAACCCGTCCAGCACCAGCCAAGGTAATGAAATGGGAGAGAGTATGGTGAAATTTGGTGGTGAATGGCTTTAAGTGTTTTTAGTAGAAGGCAGATACTTTTATGGAACACAAGATTAATGATCAGAATTAAATAGAAGTTAACGATTTTAACTTCTTCCAGTACTATGATGCTTGCACAGCTTCGCTCTTCTACGAGACTTTAGACACTGCTGGCCCTTACTGGCCACAACTGCAGTACTATTTGACCTCTTCTTTTATATTGTTTCGAGTGCTGTGATACTACTTGACCCCCTTTGTTTGCTTGCCTTGAGCATCATGACACAGTTGACCCCTCTTAAAATTTCTGACATGCCCTTGTTTTTTCTACTCCAAGACTCAAACTGTTTTATTTAACAGACCTTTGCTCTTGTTCTCTGCTCACAGGAGACACAAACAGCAGCGATCCAGAAGCGGTCGTGACCAGTTATAACTGTCAGTTGTGTGATTTCCGGTACTCGATGGCCCACAGTGCGGATGTGATCGTAGTAGCACCGTTACTACTGCACTATCAGCACAACCACTCCATCCACCGATGCTGCATTCAGCACTGCATGTATTGTCCGCAGGGGCTCTGTCAGCCGCACAAACACCTGGGGGAGGTGAGATTAATAAAATACTGAAGTGTTTATTTGCTTGGTGTTTTGGTGTTCGCTTGGCAATAACAAGAAAAAAATGAGCCGCTTTGTAAGCGCGAGAAAATAAAATGAAATATAAGAACAAGTGTAAAGTTAATTGTTCCAATCTCCGGCCTAGTTAAAATTCCCTTGCACCCACTCACACTCCCCACCCTCATTTGCGCCAGCTGCCAGCCATCAGCCGCTGCAACTCTTGAAAATGCTACAAGGTTGGTTATTAGCCAGAGCAGAGGGTGGCACTGCTACCGCTGGCTTCCACCTCTTTGATATTGCCTGCACAGACCAAAAAAAACAACAAAAAAACAATTACATCACAGCACCAAAGTGAGAGACACAACAGGAGGAAACTATCTCTGAAAGGCTTCAAATTCCATCGCACATATACACAGCGCTGTCATTAACCAGAGTAGAAAGTATGTGCGGAGTATGAAATGATGATGATCATATCATTGTTGCACCAAACTTTTCTGATTTTTCTCAAAAGGTCTCCCACCCCTTCGCTTGTCGGAAGCCCACCTGCCCTAAATGCTGTTCCAAGTTTCCTCAGTCCACCAAACAGCAGGACACAGTCGGTTCGAAACCTGCCGCCACCACCCCGCCCAGCATGACCCCTCCTAATCCCAGAAGTGACCCAGGTGTGATTTCTGGCTCCACCTTTCACACCTCTAGCCCTGCCCATCCTGTTGTCACACAAGGTATTTAAAAGCCTAGGTCATCCTGCAAGAAAAAGTTTTTTGTCTGAATGTTTGCAGTTTTGAAGTCTTCAAAACACTGATGCACCAATATTACCTTTTTTAATTATTCCATGATTGTTGTTTCTTTGTATTTTCACACATCATGACCCCTTTCTTTACTTCCTGTCCCTGATCTGTCCCTGCTTTTTTGATCCCAGGCGTCACCCACTTGTGTGACCAGTGCGCGTTTGCCACCACTGACATCGATGTGTTGCTACAACACTACGAAAGCTGCCACACCCTGATCAACCTAAAGGGCGCTCCCCCACATGTCAAGGCTGAGGAGGAGGTTGCGGTAGACAAGGAAGGCGGCAGAGGAGCGGGAGGAGAGAGGGAGTACTCTTGTACAAAGTGTCACTTCATCACCGAAGTGGAAGAAGAGATTTTTAGACACTACAGGTGAGAGAGAGAGAGAGAGAGATGGGGCAAGTAATGATAAAGCCTGGTAAAGCACTGTGTTTTCAGCAGACTGAAAAAAAAAAAAATCTACTTGTTCTTAGTGGCCCATTCAATTTATCATTTTTTCCAAAACCAGTGATTTTGTGCTACTGAGTGACTGAATGTGGCGTGGATGTGAATTAGTGTTATCCAAAGAGTCCATATTCCAGTCAGAGTTCATGACTAAATGTTCCAGTAAGTTGGATGACTGTGTTTAAAAAAAAAAAGAAATTCCACTGTCAAGACGAAGAAATGATAAAGTATTGCTTATGTTGGGATTCAAACCCCTGTAATTCTTTTTTCTTTTTTTTTTTTGCACTCGGTTATCCAGGAAACGTTGACTGAGCACACTCATTTTCAGCAACAGCTCACTCACACTCATAGGCATCATTTAGACATTCATACCTGGGAGCTTGAAGTGCTTATGAGGACCAGCAACACTTGTAGTTTCGATAATAACTATTGTGAGATCAGTCTCTGGTGCACATTACGCCCATTTTCTTTCTGTGATCTATCTGTTGTCAGGGTGAGAATGAAGTGATTTCAGATACTGGTAGTTTGAAGCTAATAGGGGGGGTGAAAGTGTGCACTCCACGATCAGCACCAGGTCCCCTTTACCTGCTGAATTAGCAAGGACTTAATCCAGTCTTGGAATGAAGTCTGAGTCACGAAACTGTGCGAATCTGGTTTTCTCTACAACCTTTGGAAAAGGATTTAAACAGGTGACCTTTTCACTCACTCTCCGGTAAAACCACTCTATTTAAGTGCACTGCTAGATGTTGTTATATTTGGGGTCTACTACAATTACAGGTAATCAACCAAATGTAGTGTTGCCCCACCTACATTAACACGGTCAGACTCACGACTGACGAGACTGACAGGCAAAAAAAAAATCAAAAATTGAACAATCAAACAATCAAAATTGATGCAGCAGACCCAGAGATATTGTGTGTTTTTTTTTATCCCATTTGTTCTTCTTCTTTTTTCAAAACCTAGCGCCGACATTACCCACAGTGCAACTCAACCACTTAAAGTTCAGTCAGAGATTTGGGTGTGTTATGCTAGGAGTAGCTAATGTAGCCTCAAGCCCCTTGCCTTAAGAGGTCAGGTTAACTCACCTATTTCTAATTCCACTGCCCCTTTTTTTTTATTTATTTATTTTTTTATCAAACTTGTACTTTCTAGCCCCAGCTGATGAAATGTGATTTTGCACAGCTCCCTCGTGTATAAGTGTTTGCTGTTTTTTTTTCTCAAATAAGTTGTAGACCTGGAGACAGACTTTGATGTGTAGAGTCGGTGGAGTTCCCCTGCGACTACTACCAGTATTTTTTACTGATGATCTTTCCCGGAGCAGGTTTTAACAAAGAGGATCAACCTGTCGATACAGAACTAAATACTCACAGTTCACAGAGATTTTCTGACTTTTCTTTGTTTTCTTATGAATCTTTAAAGTAAAAATGTGTTTTTGCTTGCACAAACAAACGTCTTTGTGCACAATGCGCATGTGTGTATACCTGCTAAATAAGCCTGGAGAGGTCAGACTACACTGCGCAGCACAGTTTGTTGCCTTCACAGACAGGCACAGCAACACACACACACACACACAGACACACACACACACAGACACACACACACTCACTCACTGGGGTTTCAGTGACAGAGCCAGCGACAGAGTGAGTTAGGGTGGGAAAGAGAGAGGAGGGTGGTGTGGGAAAGTTGGTGCTGAAGACGACAGAGCTACACAGAACTGGAGATAGTTATGTGAAATATTTTTGACTGCACAAGTATTGATCCAGATTGCTGACCTGAATTGCCTCTTGATATATGCAGACAAACAAACGCACATTCACATCTTGCTCTTTTTTTTCTCTCTCACACACACATACACAAAACTACAGTCTGACACGGCCATCTGAGCATGATTTCTTTTCTTTCATGATTTGCTGTAAATCAATGAAAGCCTTAAATGTTTCATTCATTTTAGAGTGAGTAGAGAGAAGAAGAGAGAGAGAGAGAGAGAGAGAGAGAGAGAGAGAGAGCAAAAGAGAAGAAGAGGGGGAGAGACAGAAAGGAAAGAAGGAAGGAGGAAAAGAGAGGAGACTAGATGAGGAGAATGGAAGACAAAGAAACAGAGGAAGAAAGTTAACGAAAGGCAGAGAGGAAAGAGAGAAAGAGAGTGTGGAGGGGAGTTAACAGTCCACTCACGTCCTTAACAGAATCTAAGCTTTGAATCTTGGAACTCAAATCAAATAAAACTGAAATAAAGCCAGAAAGTTTCACACCACCACTAAAATCAACCAAACCTGAAAGGATTCCCAGGCCAAGTTTTCAACAAAAAAAAAAAAAACAAAATCTAGGATTTAATTGTAAGGTGCACAGAACAAAGAGCCATGGTGTTAGGGGAAAGAAATTACTAGCTGAAACAAACTAGTCAATCTCACGGTAACTCTTAACACCCGAACCCTCTCACCTAGCTGCTGACACATCTCTGAGGCACAGAAGCATACACAAGAACTGTTGGTTGCTGAAGATGAGCCATTGTTTTGCTTTAGAAAAGTGTTTTTAGCTGTTTGTGTTAAAGCATGTGTGTCCTTGCACAAACGTGTGTGTGTGTGTGTGTCTGTATCTGTGGACTTAAATTAAGGTCTGTATTAAACTCAGAGGATGTAGGGGTTGTGGCCCTGAGGTTGAGTTAATGTTACACGCTCAGTGCCAGGTAGGATGTGACGGATCTTAATAGCTAATAAGGCAAGTTAATAAACACAAATGGACTTGCATTCGCTTCCCTGAGACCAGCCCCGAGTGAAATGTGTGCATTTCTGACCCAAAAAGAGAGAGATAGCGGTAAGCATCAGCACTGTATTACAAATACTTGACTTCACATCTTTCAGTGTAAGATATCAAGGCACAAACCGTTGATACACATTTGTTATGTAAAGGATGTAATAGACCTTACTCCACAGTATCTCCTTACAAGCGGACACCATTTCTACTGTAGGTCTAGGGTAAAATGATGTAGACTCCTTGTACGGCTGTGATTTAAACTTACTATTCTCAAATAAATGATTTAAGAAATACATTTTTGTCTGCTAAGAACCCAACAAAGAATCACATTTAAGTACAATGCATAAAAACAAAGGATTCAAACTGCTTTAACTTTTTGTTGTGCTTTAATTGTAAATGTGATCTTTTGCTTCTTTTTCCATGGAAATAAATCCACTTCAGTGTGTGTGAGATAGATGCTGCTGTTGACAGCGTTCGAGGGGAAGTCGGATTAGATCAGCACACGTGTAGAATGAATGATATAAACTTCATATATCATGTTTGTCTGCGCGAGAGCGTAAGTGTGACAGAGCGAATAAAGTGAGTGAGTGAGTGAGTGAATGAGTCAGTCGGCGCACCGGTCCAAGTGTGCATGCATGCGTGCTCAGTGTGTGTATGGTGATGACAAACAGAGAGGCCACTGTGTCTTTGTTCAGCATCTGGAGGCATTTAAGTCTACTAGGTACAAGGTGTACTTCTGCTACACACACATTTTCACAAATTTCTACAAATAGTTAGACCTGTTTGGGTCTGCAGGAGATTCTGCTCAAAGCCCCAGCTTGAATTCGCCATTTCCCCCGGACGTCTCTTTTTCTTTTCTTCGACAATTAGTGAAAGGCAAGAGAGACTGACAAAGAAAAGAAGGAATTGGAGCAAGAATGGGTGAGGGAGACAGATAAGATGCACGAAGCTGCACAGAATTGATATTTTAAATGCATATATTTTATTGATGTTAAAGCCACATGTCATTTTACCATTTCAGTCCCTGTCAGTCATGCAGAAATCATGCTACTCACAAATAGGAGAGGTTGTGTATATGTTCTTAGATATTATAATTCTGGCTGTATTCTTAATTTTTGTGAGGGTGTTCATCTGTGTGAGCTTCCAGCTGTTTTCATATATACATCTTAATGTTATGGGGATTTTTTTTTTTTTTTTTTTTTTGTCTGCGTGGAGAGTTGTTGTGACAGGTTCCAAAGCACAGGAGATGCTAAACAGAAAGAGGGTAAATCTTCAATGAAATGTTTCATGTTCACAAGAGTCCAAGTTCTTGGTGTAGATGGTCAATTGATTTCGTTCGCTGGCTCGCACAAGAAGCACCAAAACAGTTTAATAAGCCAGGAAAAAGCCCGGTGTCGTGTACAGCATATATTGCTGGTCATTCAGCGACTCGCCAACAGGAAATGAAGGTGGTTTGTTGATGGATGATTCATTTCTTGTCAATCAGTTTCACTTACAATCCTCACAGTTTTGCCTTAATTCCATGTGATTTAGTGGAACACTGAGTCACTTTTTGGCAAGGGGCTTAGTGAAACTTTACCTGAGTGGTTAGAGGAAATCAGGCTGGGACTAATGCACTTTAAATTTAGTCATTTCAGGCATTTTCCTCAAAATGTGATCAATAAAGTTTTTTTTTTTTTTTTTTTTAACATGTCACATGCAGCCCATTAAAAGCTATTATGAATGAAAGCTTTCACATTTGAAATTGATTAAATTGTCTCTGGCCTTGAAAAGGAAACAAAAGCTAGAAAGCTAGTTACTAGAATCTTTGTTCAGTCTCATGGATGTTACTGTTTTGACTTCAGTGTGAATTACTGTCAAATTGAAGATAACCCTTAATGACAAAATCTATTTTTCAACACATGTTGAGTGCAGACTCGGTTTGGTTTGACAAATCCCAAAATACACTATTTATGTGTATATTTAAGCACAATTATTCTGTTACCATGGACGTACTTTCTCTGTTTTAAAAATGTTTTATTTATTCTAATTCATGTTTTTTTGTTGACGTAGTTAATTCACATGGTGCTTTTTTCTCTCTACAGGCGTGTCCATGCGTGTTGCCGTTGTCGACGCTGTGACTTCACGGCTCCTGATTCATCAGCCCTCCTCGACCATTTTAACTCTGTCCACTGTCATGACTCGTCTCCCTCATTAAGCTCATTGACAACGACCTCCTTACCCACCTCACTGACACCTTCATTAACACTGTCAGCCAATGGCTGCTCAGCTCCATCTACCTTAGCCATTAAAGAAGAGAGCAAGGGGGATCTTCGCCTCCTCTACTCCCTTGCACCGCCTGAGGGACGGTTGGCAGAGGGAGGCAGAGAAGAGGCAGGAGGGGTGGTAAAAAGTGAGGGAGGCGAGGAGAAAGAAAGAGAGCGGGAGAAAGGCTGGGTTCTTGGGGAGACGAGAGGAATCGGTGAAAGAGGAGGCGAGCAGGCCCACGGTTTACTCTGGGTGCCCAAGGAGCGAATGGGACCCGAAAGAGGAGTAGAAAGAGGAGCAGGAGGTGGAAGCCCCTCACTTTTCCCCTCCCCACTCCCACTGTCTTTTGTTTCAGCCAATCATGAGGCCTCACAGCAGAAAAGGGGCGTCGCCTCGCCTAGCATGGTTTACCTGGGAGACACCAAGTCATTTTTGGGAGATACCAAGTCATTTTTGGGAGACGCAAAGCTGTACGGAGGAGGAAGGCCAGGAGGAGCCGCTGCAGGTGGAGGTGGAGGGGAGAAGCAGAACCAGATGCCCCCTCAGCAGTACACAGGAGGAGGAGGAGGAGGAGGGAGTGGAGGAGGGAGTGGAGGTGGTGGAGGACAGGAGGGAAAAGGAGGAGCTGCTAAAGAGGAGTCCCAGTCCCTGCTACGGGTAAGGTGTCACATGTGCACACACTCCTACCTTCCTCTGTTTCACACTTGACTTATTCTCTCATTTAGCCAAGTCTTCCTTCCTTGTCTCATTTACTCCCTGATTTGAGCTTTTAGCTCTGAATGAAGGCCTCTGTACCCAGATCCTACCTGCTGAGAGCATTAGTTGATGGAGTGATGCTATTAATACGCCTTTATCTTCATTTCCTTTGAATCGCATGTGAGGATTAGACCCCATGCAGTGAGCGGCTGCAATGAAATCTGTAATTCTTCCATCATATTTAGAGTACTTATTCAGATTTCTGTAGGCGTACCAAGTGTGTACGAGTGCCCCCACATGCTCGTGTGTGTTCATATCTGTTTGAGCTTTTGTCCTTGCACGTATGATTCCATGACATAATTGTCTTTCCCATAAGTTACATTCATTTTTTATTTTTTATTTTTTTTCATTTTTATATTTTAACTCACAACACTCACTGAGAAACTTGCCTGTTGCTTTGGCTACAGGGAGGCAAACTGACAGTTCCCATGGTTACCACCTGTCAGTCAGTTCCCTCACCCTACTTTGTGGCCCACAATGCTTTTCACTTCACAGTGATGTCATGGACTGGCAGGAACAGATTGTGGTTTGCCAGCACCGCAGAGCTTATTGGCTATGATCACATTAGATCAGAATAGACTGAAGTGTGTGTGTGTGTGTGTGTGTGTGTGTGTGGGGGTGGTGTCAGGGCACCGACATGGGTCTATGTAAGTGGTAGTATTGAGTGTGAGAGTGGTGTTCCTAGTGTGTGTATGCACATTGTGTGTAATTTGTGTGTATGGCCTCTTTGTACAAGTTGTGGGTTGGCCTGTTGCATATGTGTGTACGTGTACGCGTGTGTGCGTGTATGTGTGTGAGGTGTTGGCAGTAACTTGGCAGACTGGGCAGGGTGGGGCAGCAAGAGGTTTACTCATTATCGTGGGTGGGGCAGTGTGTGTCTGTGAGAGAGCGGGAGAGAGTTGGACGAAGAGAAGGACTGCATGCGTGAGAGAGAGAGGGAGGAAAACTAAGATGAAGATAGGGAGAGTCAGATAGAGATAATAGTGTGTCGCAAAAAAGTTCAACATTTCCCCTTTTGTCTCATTAAAGAAAGAAATAGTTGAAGAAATTCTTGTTGTAACTTTGCTGAAAGTCATAACTTCTAATTTTTACATTTCTGTTAGTGTACAGATGAAACAAACAAGAGACAATGAGTTCATTGGTGAGATTTATTGGCACCAGGACAAGCTTACAGTCACCCCTGGCTCCAGGTCTTTATGCTGAGCTTGGCAAAATACATCTCGACTTCACACTTAAGCCTCAAATAAGCACATTTTCCAAAATGTTCAATTATTCCTTTAAATAGAATTAAAGTTGAAAAAAAGTTGATCTTATTCCTCAGTGTCTGATAGCATGAAAGGTATATTCCTCCTTAGTGTTCTTTAGCTCTTTATTGAAGTTATGCAGTGTTTACACAATAATCAAATGCAAGAGTCTTTTTTTTTTTTTTTTTTTTTTTAGCTACACCGTTCCATCAAAATATTCAAAACCAACTTCTCTCAGTTTAAAAAGAACTTTTTGGCTGCACATCATGAGTTTGTAACAGTTGACCCACCAGCGGGTCAGTTAGGGTTGAAGCGCAACTTTTACTTTCAGTGTCCACTAGGGTCAATGTGTGACTGTATGGATGGAGAATGTATCTGCATACATAGACACCTAGTGTTGTGTAAAACCACATCTGCTGTCCGAGTCCGTCGGGGCCTTACGGAGTTAAAGCGTTCAGTAAGTGAGTGTGTGTAAAGGTGAGGTGAAGAAAGAGAGGAAGGGAAGAAACAAACAATTTAACAACTTATTAGAGAGGAGAAGCTGAGCATGACTCATTACTTAAATAGCTTAATAAGATATGGCCCTTGCTGCTATCTTTCTCCCTCCTCTCACAACAATATAAATTCTCCGTTTCCATGGCGTGCACTGACACGTCACACACAAACACAGATATACCGCATATACACATGCGCACACAGGCTGGGGTTGACTCATCATTGGGCAGGGTTAGGGAGGGGTGCTAATGCAAAGGATCATCTGAAATAGCTTAGTACACACGCGCACATACACGCACGTATATGGACACTTTAAGATACACACACACACACACACACACACACACACACACACACACACACACACAGAGGCGTTCAATTTAAATTTGGCCTTTGACGCAACAGGGCAGAGTCTGAAATGTAAAAGGTGAATCCGCCCAAAATACAAATTGACTCTGTAAATGGCAAGTGAGAAGTGGAGAGAGAGAGAGAGAGAGAGAGGGCTAGGAGAGGATGGAGGGAGGGTTGAGAGGAGGAGGAGGAGGAAGAGCAATGATGGAAGGATGCGGGGAGTGGGTTAGTATGGAGGAAGCAAAGGATTAAAAAGAGACAAAAGCAGAAACAAATGGTCAGAGTCATATTTCATCTAAACGTCTGTGCGTGTGTTTTTTTTTTGTTTTTTTTTCTTCCCTGACGTGTTTGTGTGTTTCCCTCTTCCTTGCTTGTTCTCTCTGTTCTCCTCTGCATCGATCTGTCTCTCCCCTTTTCGTTTCATTCTTTTTCTTTCATTTCCCTTCTTTTCTTCAAAGGACAACTCACCTGACACACAGGGATCGATACACACACACACACACACACAACACACACACACACACACACACACAAAAGCTTTCGGGCACACACACACATACAGGATCGGAGCTCTTAGTATTCTGGTATGTGAGGCGTTTTGCTTTGTAGAGAGGAGAATATTTTCTTTTGAAAGGCCTGATCTATAATTGCTGCATAGTGTTGCCTTGTTGAGACATTGCTGCGCTATTGGCTTTGTTTTCGTAGTGATTTATTAGATTGAAGACATTTTCTCAGTTTGAAATTTTATTTTCTGGCTGTTTGACTGACTGTATGAGACAAGGGTAGAGAGCGCATGAGGTTTGGAGATGAAATTAACGTAAAAGCTCCGTTGACGTTTTAGTTTATAAATGGAATGAGACAGACTTTGAGTAATGGTGGTTTTTCGAGTTAAGCAGGGCTGAGAAGGGTCCAACTCTGAGCCAAACATATGTGAACATATGTGTATATACCCAAACATATGTGAATCGACCCAAAATTTAGATCATCTAATAAATCCCAGACTGTTTTCAAAGGGAACTCCACCTCAAGGACAGCAGAGAAGAGTAGATAAATGGATGCACGCAGGGAGAGGAAGGAGTTGTGGATTTGACCTTAACAACACAATATAATTGTCTTCATCTTATGTGGTCATAATGCAGTACTGAAATGTGAACCTTCGGGGTTTTAACAGTCCCATGCGTGACATTCAATTCCATTAGAGTCGAGAGACAGACAGAGAAAATACAGAGACGAACTCAGAGTGATAAACGGGAATGTGTGCTTTCAGCAGATCAGAGAAGAGTTTCATTAAAGTTTTTCTCGTTTACATTTCTGCCCGACGGAGCTAATTATGTTTAAAAGACACACACACAAGCGCGCACACACACACACACACACACACACACACTTGCACACACACAGCTGTATTTCCATAAAGTTCTCATTACTTAGCGTCCTATTTCCCTTCTTCGCTTTTCCTTGCGTAAACTCATGTGTGTCAGTGTACATGTGCATCTGTGTGCACGCTTTCCGCTGCTTGTGTACTTAATTATGTGCGATGTGTCTGCATTTGCATTCTGAGTGTGTGAGAGTGTGAGAGTGTATGCGTTTTGTAAGGAAATTAAAGCATGAATTGAACTTATTTTCCGTGCTTATAATTTAACATCAATTTATATCCGCTACAGGAAATTATTTAGCTTATGCTCCACTCAGTGTGTGTGTGTGTGTGTGTGTGTGTGTCACTTTGTGTTTGTGTTTAGTGCTTTTAAAGACACAAAAAAAGAGGGGGATAAAAATGATGTAAGTGATGTAACTTTCAATGTACACTCGTGCTTTTTACAGTTTCCTGTTCAGGCCTTATATTTCTTTGTTACCTTTCAGTGTAGCAGAAGAAATCAGTAGAGAAGTGCTCTCACAAAAAAATATAGTAATAATGACATTTGTTTCAAAACCTGGAAAGGAAAAAAGAGCTGATGAAATTTTGGTGAAAACATGTGGACCTCACTGATCAGCCACTATTATCACATATGCAGTATATCGCTTTTGGCATAAACTGCAACACAGAAATGCCAAAAATATAAGTAATTGAAAAGGAGTGAACGAGCTCTGACCAGTTTATTTTACAACTATAAAATCCACACAGTACATATTTTGGTCGCAGTTCTTTAATAACCAAAGAAAAGGGTCCTATTCAAAAATGTCTGTTTACATGATGTGTTTATTTGTTTAGAATGAGAGCATTTAACTCTCACATATTGATGTCAGACTCAGGTTCCTCAGAAGTTGGGATCTTGACTTGACCTTCTCAGACAATTGCACAGTGCTGGCAGACGCGCACAATGGCCGCCACCCAGTCAGCTCCTTTTGACCCTCGCTGTTTCATTCCTTTATTTGCTGATCTGGAAAATTTGGCTGGAGCTGAGTTTAGGTGACAATGCATCGAGCAATTGCTCTGCTAGTGTGCTGGATATGCTTCAATACAAGCCCCAAGCTGCTCCAACAGCCATTAAACATCAATACGGTAGAATAGTTTGGAGCAGTGTGAGCTTTTTTTTTTTTTTCTTTTTTGCAGACATCCCTATAAGTGGAGCACGTACACATGGATGTGTATAGAGAGTTGGCATCCTACATGCAGGCCACTATGGAAAAGAAATGACTTTATTCTTTCTAGTCACTGAGGTGCAGTTTGTCTGTGTTTGCATATGTATGTTCTTTCGTCTGTGTGTGTGTGTGTGTGTGTGTGTGTGTGTGTGTGTGTGTGTGTGTGTGTGTGTGTGTGTGTGTGTGTGTGTGTGTGTGTACATGTGTGTGACCGTGTGAGAGACTTACTGA